CTAATTACTAACGAGTATATATATCGACAAGATCAAAACCTTGGATTTCTAAAGATTCACTTTGAACCCAAAGATTTATTTTCTTGAAGAAGATTAATTAACTTTCAATTTTGTTTATTGACACCATCTTTCCAAAGAATGAGTCTAGAGAAGACACAGGAAATGTTACAAAATCATATTCGAAGGAAGTAAATGTCCTTTAACATTTACTAAGCCTCTGAATCTCTTTATTAAGTACATTATCCTTTTCATTTCCTAGGCATTTTAGACCCTTCTCTAGACTACTCAAGTCTAATTTTACAGTCCACATCATAGGTCCTATTTTAATTCTTTTAGGAATAGGAACTTGGACTTTGACTAGATACCCCCACACTTTGAAATATTTCAAGTTGGATTTCATTCCTTTCTATTTCTCATATGGAAAAGATTGTATTCTGATCAAATAAAATCGCGTTCTTTTTAAAAAGACAACTTTTTGTTGTTCCCTTTTGCAGTAAGGATAGTTCCTCCACACAAGTTTTGTGTTTCAATATTTTTTATTGACACCATCTTCCAAAGAATGAGTCTAGAGAAGACACAGGAAATGTTACAAAATCATATTCGAAGGAAGTAAATGTACTTTAACATTTACTAAGCCTCTGAATCTCTTTATTAAGTACAATATCCTTTTCATTTCCTAGGCATTTTAGACCCTTCTCTAGACTACTCAAGTCTAATTTTACAGACCACAGTCATAGGTCCTATTTTAATTCTTTTAGGAATAGGAACTTGGACTTTGACTAGATACCCCCACACTTTGAAATATTTCAAGTTGGATTTCCTTCCTTTCCATTTCTCACATGGAAAAGATTGTATTCTGATCAAACAAAATCGCGTTCTTTTTAAAAAGACAAAACTTTTTGTTGTTCCCTTTTGCAGTAAGGATAGTTCCTCCACACAAGTTTTGTGTAAACCCGAACTTATAAATAATGCATCCATCATTTCTTTCAACATTCGGTTTTTCATTAGATTGAGGTGAACATGACAGTAGTTTGATGGATATTCTACTTTCCAAACATATTTCTGCGCAATGAGATTTATACTCTCCATTCTTATCATTTCTTATATTTTTTCACACTGATTTTCAACTTCGATATTACATTGTCTAGACATTTCTATTGTTTCATCATTACCATTCAGCAAATAGACATAGTCATTTCTAATGCAATTCTCAATAAAAGTAACAAATATTTTTTCCCACCATGAGATGGTGTTAACTTCATATCACAAATGTCAGTGTAAATCAATTCTAAGAGATTAGAATTTCTTTCAACAAATTTATAAGAATGCTCAACATTCTTAGATTCCACAAAAAATTGACATTTTTATTTATTGCACTCAAAGTTAGGCAAAACTTCTAAGTTGATTAGTTTTCCTTAAAAGGTTTTGTAATTGACATGCCCCAAGTGTTCATGTCACAAACATTGACTCAAGCAAGTAAGAACAAATAAAAACATTGAGTTTGAAAAACTATTCGCGAGGTAGCTTTTTCATCACTAATATTTTGTTCCTATTTCTTACAATTTTGTGTGATATAAACATTGTTTAGATTGTCAAATGTCCTTTTCAGAAGGACATTTCCATAACTTTCAATATGATTGTTATAGAACTACCCATGAACAAAGTTTCATCGGGTTCAATAAAGACACTATAGTCCAAATGTTATTTTTACAAAAACATAACAAATGACTATTCACCAATATTCATGTCTATGCAAATACTTTTATTATAATAGACATATCTTTTCATGAAAAATCACAAGATTTTATGTGATATTCTTTTCATAAAAGAACACAATTATTTTGAACAAGTATATATATAATTTGGATGTTTCATACTAGTCACACTATATACTAGTAATAGAGAAACTCAACAATCACAGTACCAAATATACTCCAAGAATTTTGTGGTATAACATAATACAAAAGTATCGTTAAATTTCATATCTTTTGCTCCACAGTTAAACTAGACACCAAGTCTAATCATAAGCACATAACCCCCACATTTCAAATGTGATCTCAAAAATATTTTTTAAGTATTTGAAAATACTTTTTTCACATATTTTAATGTTGGAAACATTATTCTACGATAGAATTATAGTGCTGCAATTCTCTTTGACAATGTTTACATAATGTCAAAGTTCATTCCATAGAGACACAATATCACAAATTCTAAGTCACTGGTATTTTTTCTCTATCATAAATAGACATACCACTTAGTATTTTAAATACTAACAATAAGGACAAAAAAATTGAACAATTTGTTTCTATATTACGTTGAAGTTTATAAAAAAATCAAAAGTACAACACTGACTTATTTTGTGAAGTTTTGATATTCTTCAAACCAAATGCATAGTCCAATTTATCCAGAGTATAAAACCACAAAAAGTTTTTTTTTCAAACAGAATAACACATATTTTTTATCACATAGAAATGTTTTTCTTATCAAATAGTCTTCCAACTATAACATTTTGACATACTATTTTATCAAAAAAAATTATGCATCTCTCATTTTTGCAAACTAAAGAATTTTAAAAGTAACAATATTTGCGAAGTATTCATTCCACAACATATGGTTTGCACATCTTTTTCCAAAGATACACATAATAAAAAAAATCAAAGATGATAACTCTTAGAAACTATTTTCCTCCTTAGATAATTTAATAAGAAGGTTACCTGGTAATCTTTAAACAGAATACCATAAAAAAATTTTGTTACATTCTCACTTCGACCTTGCAAAACAAAGCAACGAATTATGGAGAAGTAATGCATTTATCTTCTACTTTCATGATCAAATTCTCTCCATTAGAAGAATACAAAAAATAGTAACAGTATATTAATTTCCTTAAGATTATTGTTCATCTTGTATTCCAAACATACTTTTAAACATAACTTTGAACATCTTTGTAAGACAACAAAGTTTAAGAAAATTTTCACAACTAGAAAATTAAAACTAGTAGTGAAACTAGAATCAGAAACAGATTTAAAAAAAATATACGAAATATTTTTTTTAAAGAAGAATTGTTGTTAATATGTGTCTAAAGAATCTTACTAATTCCAACAAACTTTGCAGAAACATGAAGTTACCAAGTTTAATGAACCATTGAAGAACAAAAGAATAGATGAACTGAAATTAATTCACAAATCTAAAATTTGTAAAACACATACCAGAATCTGGAAAATTTTTAATAGGAAAAAGATCAAGTCCACTAAATTCACAGTGTCCCCATAAGGAAATTATTCCCCTCTAGTATCCGAAATTTGATTTGGAATATGACCTCCCAAGATAAAATGATCTCAATCACCAGAGTATAGATACCAAAAACTCTGGTGTCAGCGAACCACTCAACGGCGATAAAGACACTTAGAATACTAGATTTAGTGGTTGAAGAAGAAGTCCATGAATTCTATATTAAAATGAGAGGAAATCCCTCAATTTATAGAAAACATAGGGTAGTGCGAAAAGGTTATTTATAGAAAACAAAGTGTAGTTCGAAAAGGTTCTTATTGTGCCTTACCAGAGAGGTCACAAACCTTTTGAAAAGTCATAATCTTTCAGAAATGTCTTCATCTTTCATAAAAGTCACAACTTTCCATAAAAGTCACATCTTTTCATAAAAGTTGCATCTTTTCATAAAAGTCGCAACTTTTCATAAAAGTCACAACTTTTCATAAAATTCGCAACATTTTATAAAAGCCACAACTCTTTATAAAAGTCGCAATTCTTCATTTTCCATTCACACATTTTTAAAACCCAATATTTTTTTCGCAATGTTGAATAAAATTTTACTAGGAAACCCAAAATGGAATGAAGAAGGTGCGAGACTTATGGTACAAAAGACTGTGGGGATGTTGGAAGTTGATGTGGTAACTGCACTGATTGTTTTCATGCAAAATATGATGAACAAGCATTTCAGAAATATGAACTTGGGGCAACACCAAATCAGCATTTCAGAAATATGAACTTGGGGCAACACCAAATCGAAGTCGGATGTCAATCACGTTGGACCCTAAAATGGAGGAAACAAATAAAGAATAAAATAAGAAAAATCTAAGGCAATCATTTTTTTAGAGGATCATATGTGAATGCGACAATATATAGTTTGAAGGATACAAGGAACATAGATAAATTGTGAGGTCCATATAGAGCGAGTAAGTCTTCAATTATATAATTAAAATATTTCAGAAGAACGAAAACCATGAGATATATAAAAAATTGAATACTATTTTACTCTAAGTATTACAAGAAACCATAGAGGGAGATAACTACATAATACAGGTTTGAAAATGAATTAAGATTTTACTCAATGTTTCAAACTTCAACCAAAGAAAGAGAACAAAAATATTTTCTTGTTTTCTCTCTCAAAATCATCACAGGCTAAGAGATGGATTGTGAGATAATTTGTATCGTAGATGTTCCTTCGGCCTATGTTGGCCTTAGAATTCTCTTAATTGATCCTAATTCTACTTCTTTATCAACTATAGCAGCAATTCTTGAAGAACATTCCTTTAAAGGTATATTTTACATCTCTTTTAGTTTTCTCTCACATGTGTTAGAGCCTTTCCCCCTAATTTTTGTTAGAGGTAAATCTCTACTTATAGTCTGTAGTTAAAGAAGTGAATTAATGTAAAATTTCTTATTGAAGTTTGTTTTATAAGATACATGAAATTTATCAATCTAATTTAATTTATTTTTTTGGATAGATTTGAGTGTTGAAATTCGTTGAAGAAAATTATTTTATTATTGGGGAAAAAACAGAGATGAACATGACAAAAACTTTTAGTAAATTTTAACATGTGTTCAGTCATGTATTACTTAGTGCAGATATAGATGAATAAATTATAATAGTGCTTAATAGGCTTGTTAAAATTTTTATTATGAAAATATCGCACAACATACATATTTTTTTATATTTTCTGATCTTGATTTTTGTTTATAGTAACTGCGATCGAACAAGCCACTGTAGCTCTATCCATTCTCCGGGAACATATCGACCAATTCGACTTGATCATGGTGGATGCCAACATGTTTGAAATGGACTACCTTCAATTCATCAAGTCCACTCAACTCATCAAAAAGACAAACCAATTATTTGTAAGAGCATTTCCTCAAAATCTTAATTATTTTACTTGATTTAGTGTGTGCTATTCATTAATTCAAAAGTATATTTAAATGTGTTAATATAACACATCATTATTGGACTTTATCTACTATAATAATAATATAAAAAAATTGACTTGTTTTAACTCATTAGTGTTACTTGTAGATTCTATATTTTTCTTTGTCAGATTCTATATCCATATAAGTTCCTCCCAAAGTGATGTATATAAATTTGAACATCTAACTTCTCCTACAATTCTAGATACCTCATTAAATTATTATTTTGTTCTTGATTTTATATTTTTGATTTAGTGATGTCTCAGAGGTGACGATTGAAATGATAAAAGAAGCATCAACACTAGGGATATGCTTCATTTATGAGAAGTCACTCATCTCATCATTGAAACTCAAAGATATATGGAAGCATGTGAGGTGGCACGATAAAAAGGAAAATGAGGAATCACAACACTACAACGCTAAACAAGTTAATTTAATGGTCAACATATCTTGTCCTACAAAGATGCAGGACTTAAAGGGAAAAAGCAAAGAGAATTGCTCGGTGACTTATCAAGATCAAGAGGTAGATTCTTTAATGGAAAAAGATGCGGCGAAAAGGTCTAAGAGAATGAGAAGTACGAATGAGGACACACAAGTTAAACATAGTGTTTCTTCAGAAAAAGAGGAGAAACATTCTTTTCTTTCGAAAATAAGTACAGAAAGACCAGAAAAGAAAAGACGAAACATGAAATGGACAGCAGAGCTTGAGAAGAAATTAGATGAAGTTGTTCGCGAGTTAGCAGACAAAGGTAAGTGTTCAAAAATTTCGTTTTTATCCCGGCATAGAGAAATAGAAAAAATAAGAATGGTGTTTAAGAAAGATCTTAAGTAGATATTTTCTTAATGTTCACAATTTTACTATTAAATTCTTATTAGTTGTCTTACCATGTTGATTTAGCTGGTCCTAAAAATGTGCTACAGAGGATGTGTGTGTAGGATTTGACTAATGAGTGTCTCACCTACCGTCTAAAGGTATCCATGTATAAAAAAATATTTGTGATTCAAAGTTTTGTAAATTTTTCCTAATATTTTTCATCTTATGTAGAAATATCGATCCCAAAAATGAAAAGTTCCGGATGCACAGCCAGTTACTTCAACGATCTTTAACGAGGAACATCCTTCCAAAGTGTTCAATTCAAGCAAGTCCTCTGCAGATGTGAATGAATTATTTCAAGGAGCATACAGACCTCAACCATTAGAGGTTCCTTTGGTAACTTTACCAAGTTCAAACCATTCTTCCTTGATAGAGTGTGATGAGTGGATTAATGAATTCCTAGAACTTGACAATTTCGAGCAAAAATTAAGATAGTAAATCAGAGTATTATGTTCTATTTTTGAAAGCTCAAGTCAAACATTCTTAGGTGTTCGACGTTTTTATTGATCTGTTGTGATTGACCTCTGTAGAACTGAAAAAATATTTAACTTTGTTCTTTTGCATATGAAATGATTAAATGGATATATTTTTTTCATTTTGTGTGTATGCTTTACTCATAAGACATGGATCACTTTCTTGAATCAATTTTCATTATGCTCGCATCATGCCTTTTTTATTTTCTTTTTCTTTTTTTGTGATTGAAAATAAAAATAAATGTTATCCCTTTTAATAGAAGTTAGTGTGATTTCTTCTATTGAAGTTTTATATAGGAACAATATGAAAGATGGAAATCGTCTTGTAGGATTTGTTCGTCTTAGTTCATATATGAATAGGCTTTCTAGTCCTAGTTTGAGACCTCATTTTTTTCCCATTAAGATTAAGACGTATGAATCTGAATGGACATACAAATGATTAAGATCTTGTTTGTAGATCTGAACATTGAAGAATTAAAATCGCTTGTTTTCAAACACTTGAATATATATATAAATAATTCATTAATATGTAAGCACATTAAGTATTATAATATAAATAAAATAGTAGTTAAATATTACATCAACAAAATATTAGAAAAAATGTGATTCTTTGATAAACGTATATTTGATTTATAAATAAATATTTTAAGTTCTTTTTTAAAAAATGGAATTACACAAATTATATAATAATATATATATATATATATTGATAAAAATAATTGTTAGAAAAAATTTAGTGAACATCTTTTTGAAAGAAATATTCAACAGCAATTAATCTTAAATTAATAGGTGAAACATTTCTATGTTCTATAATGTTTTTTGCCATGCTTTCTTTTCTGAAATAAATAATGAATATGATACATTCAAAAGATTTTAGACAAATTTATAAAGGAATCATAATCCGATGTCATCACGTATTTATGAAGTTATTTTGCACTTTAATCAAATAAATTTTATCAATTCTTGGTAAACAACTTGCAAGAACAAAACTTAAAAGTTTAAGAGAAATAATTTAGATAACTGAACGAGACTTTGAATTATTTTTCTTGGAAAAAAATATGGAGCACAATTTTTTTCTCAAAACAAATGTATCTTTAAAAGAATCTTGAATGAGAATTAGACTCTTTCACAAATTTGATTCACTGAGGCCTTTTTAGACTCATTAAAAGATTTTTTAGTAAAAAAAAATAAATGCACTTAATGGCCTAATGTTTGAAACATTCAGATTCAGATCTCCATTAAGTGTTAACAAATGAAGCTGGTTTCCTACCATTATAAATAGTTATTTTGCTAGTAATTTTCAATACACAGAAATATATACAAAAAAAAAAGAAAGATTTATAAAGTAATCGAAAGAACTTTAATTAAGATTCAAGTACTTTTAAATTTATAATATTTCCCCTCAAAATGATATTCGAGACTCTACGATCCTTGTAGAGAATAAAAGAACTCCCACTGCCGGCGGACGATTATAACCTATATATCACCCGTTTGACCAATGATCATGTTGACAAAGGCTTGACATGAATTACATATGCATGAAAAAGAAACCCTCACAAGAGAACCAATGGATACCTATAAGCAAGAACATCATTTCAATGTGTTGAATCCAACTAACTTCTCTGTGGATTTTAATGAATTATTTCAAGGAGCAGATATACTTCAACCTTCAGATTTCCTTTTGTAGCTTTACTAAGTTCAAACGATTATTACTTGAATGAGTGCGATGAGTGGATTAATGAATTTCTAGAACTTGACAATTTTGAGCTGAAAATATGCTAGAATCAGAGTGTCAGATTCTACAACTTGCTAGATTACATATAGAGAGAGTAAATCTTCGATTATACAACTTAAAATATTTCATAAGAATGAAAATCATGAGATATATAGGAATTGAATACTATTTAATATAGTATGCATTAGGAGAAACCAAAAAGAGATAATTACATATATATTTAGAGGCTTTAAAGTGTATCAAAATTTTACTCAATGTTTCAAGCTTCAACGTTTCTTGTTTTTCCTTTTAAAAAAGTTACAAGTAAAGGTGCGGCTAGAAATACAACTAACAAAACATTATCAGTTTAATACCGTATCAAAATATTATATGGTGTACATAGATACAATATTATTGCTAATTTATGTACATATATTAAATCATGAGCACTCTAGTTAAAATTCATGACTTAGTCATTAGCAGCATGGATATACTACTAGGAAAACAATACTACATCTAATCTAAAGCAATCTTCAAGTCATGAGCCTGGTTGACCAATTCCTCTATCCCGCTTCTTCATCTTTTCTTTTGAACTTCGAAAATCAAGGTTCGACTTGCATGTATTATGCATATTGTATGAGTAGCATGATGTACTTCTTAGCGCTTAGGACACTACCTAAAAGTAAGTTTATTTTCTCTTTTCCTCTTGCATAACAACAATGGAGGAGATAGTAAAAAAATAGATCGGTTGTATGAATTTAATGTTGAATGACCATGTTGTCTTTTTATTTAAGTACATCACATACCAGTATAGTAAAACAAAGATAAAGAAGTACTGGAAGTTCTATACTTATTATACTAGCATATAAATCTCATACGTGAACGAAAAAATTTAAAAACATGTTATTTGAAGTGAACTTGCTAACATGACCAAAAATATATTATCGACTAATCTCTCCAATTCAATTTGTTTGTCTGTTTTAATTTAATACAAAATTTACGAAAGTAAAGTAAACTTTTGAATCTTGTAATCTTAAACTAAATATCAACAAAATGTACCAAAATTTTCTTTAATCTTGTCATTTTTAACATGACTTGTAAAAAGTTAGAATTAAAGAGGTTTCAAATAAAGAAAGTGATCTTTTTTTTAATGAACTAAAAATTAAAGTAAAATTAAAAAATTCAAAACGGAGAGATAAAGTGATATATACTGTCTGTATATCACAAAAATAGTCAAAATTAAATTATTTTGAACTGAAATTGGTAGATTATCAACTTCTTGTTTAATTACATCTCCCTAAGATTTTGACTACACTAGTTATTGACTTGCTATAAATAAAGGTAGATTCACTTTCTATAAAAGTAGATTTTCAAAATCTAATATCCTCCCTCTACAACTAAGCAATTGGTCAAATTTTATCCTTCATATAGCATTTCATATAGCATAAGGTGGTAGAAACATAAACAGAGAAATCAAAGAAAGAGCACAAAAATTTAAAAATCTCTTTTTCTTCTTCTTTTCTCTCAAAATTTTCAAAGGCTAAGAGATGGATTGTGAGATAATTCGTAATGTAGATATTCCTTCAGCCTATGTTGGCCTCAAAGTTCTCTTGGTTGATCCTGATACAACTTGTTTATCAAATATAACAACAATGCTCGAACAACATTCCTTTAAAGGTAAAATAATTCTTTGTCTCTTTTAATTTTCTCTAATACGAGTTGAGCCTCCCCCCCCCCCCCCCAATTTTTGTTGGATCTTCTAGGTAAATTCTCTACTTATATATAGTCTATAGTTAAAGAAGTGAATTTTTATAAAATTGCTCATGAAGTTTGTTTTATAAGATACATGAAATTTATAGATTGAATCTAATTTATTTATTTTTTTGATAGATTTGAGTGTAGAAATTTGAAGGAAAAAAAATATATTAGTGGCAAAAAATTGAGATACACATAACTAAAGCTTTTAGTAAATTTTAACATGTGTTGCAGTCATATATGACCAAGTGCAGGTATGGATGAATAAATTACAACAATGATTAATAAGATTGTTAGATTTGTTGTTGTTTTAATAAATTGATGGTTGTTTTTGATGCTTGAAAACATAACAAATGGACATGTCTAGTTAAATTTTGATAATCTACTTAATTGATGTTTGAGACCATAAGATTTTTCTAAATTTTAATTTGAATTGTCAAACAAAAACGTTTGATCATTTGATTAAATGCTCAGTCAAATATTTCTTTCTGTACTTCTAATGTAATATTATTAGTCAATTCACACTACCTTTATCTGTGTAATAATAAAGGACAACCACAACATATATATTATCTTTTGTGATATTTTCTGAGCTTGATTTTTGTTTATAGTAACTGCGATCGAACAAGCAAGTACAGCTTTATTCATTCTCCGAGAAAATATCGACCAATTCGACTTGATCATGGTGGATGCCAACATGCTTGAAATGAACTACCTTGAATTCATCAAGTACACTCAACTCATCAAAGACAAACCAATTGTTTGTAAGATTATCTCCTCAAAATCTTAATTATTTTACATGATTTAGTATGTGATATTCATTAATTCAGAAGTGTATTTAGACGTGTTAATATAACACATCATTAATGGACTTTATCTACTATTATAATATTGAAAGATTGATAATTTATACAAGTTCCTTACAAAGTAGTGTTTATAAGTTTGAACATCTAATTTCCTCGACAATTTTAGATACCTCATTTAATTAATATTTATTGATTGACATTTTATTTTTGGTTTAGTGATGTCTCCAGAGGTGACGATGAAAATGCTGAAAGAAGCACCATCACAAGGGATATGCTTCATTTATAAGAAATCGCTGATTTCATCATTGAAACTCAGGAATGTATGGAAGCATGTGAAGTGGCACAATAAAAAGGCAGATGAGAAATCACTACATTACAACGCCAATCCAATTCA